TTGCGCAAGAGTATCTGAGTATCTGAAGTTCAATACTCAGCTAAAAGAATCCACGGTCGAATTGGAATCCCTCAATGAATGCGTGCAGGCACAGTTGCTGTACGATTCAGTCAAGTGATCCTGATTCGATCACTGGGGACGCGTTGGATACATGTTTCACGCAGCGCGTCACCGGGGAATCGAAAACATACAAATGATGACAGCAAAGAAATTATGAACGAGAGCAAAACAGAATGTGAAATTCGCTGGATGACAAGGTCAGTAGACAGTGAACGAACTGAAAGTATGCAATCGACTTTGTGATTGCATTAAATCAATAATGGAGTCGATCCATGAGCCCATAAACTAACCCAGATTTATGGCAAATTTCCTACGAAATACAGTCATGTTACCGATGGGCTTCCACAGATAAACAGGCGAACGAGAACAGTAATGGCACAAATGCACATTAATAGGAAAATGAAAAAACGCATGCAAAAGGCGTTCAAGGTAAGTAAATGGAACATAAAAGATAGACAAATGGGGGTCAAGAGAGATTGGCAACAAACATTGTCCATGCACTGTCCACTCGACGCTCCGACCAGATACATCGCAAGCGCAAGTAATCTGGAGCGACACAGCTTTCTGTATTTCAATAATACCAAGTGGCTATGACATTAGTCCGAACGGCAACTCTAGAGGCAATGCAACGTTGAACGACTTAACTTTGACTGATAAGCTGTAATATCGTAATCGCTGTAGACGGCAGAAGTTTGAAAGAACACGTGAGACCCACCTGAAGAAATGGAGTAGCCCACATGACCCAATGACAAACGTCGTCAAGCACCGTCGAGAGTAGCACTATATCGGCAACATATACCGGTAGCACAATGGGTCGAAATTGTTGGTGCGGAAACAATGTGTACAGTTAATGTAACTCACGTGGCTGATGATAGTTGCCATCTGATCGTTCAAATGCTCTCATAAGCTTTTTTGCCCACAACCTGAAGTGCAATGCTGCTCTAATGTTCGATCAATCTACTACTTCCAAGGATAACAAAACGCACTGACGTAACCGATTGGTTAGAGGCTGCGCCAATTGGTTTAAGTGTAATGCGACGCTAGCTGAATGTAAAGTCTATCCATACGGAAGTCCCTCTATGCAATTGCGTGCGGAAGCAATAGTTTGTCACGCGCTACGTAGATCACCATTAACATCATCAATACACGTTAGCTGATGGTGAGAAACACACCTCAAGTAATGCGCCGCAATATAAAAGATAAAGATAGTGAACATTTACAAAATATCCTATGGAGACCATGGTGACAAGCAAATGCGTAACCGGATGCCGTTATCCGTGTATATATATATATATATATATATATATATATATATATATATATATATCATCTATGGCGTAGTAGTATGCGTCCATACGTTGTATATGTAGATGTTTCAGTTGACACCCAAAAGGGAGGGTTTGAGTCGCAGCCTATCTTTCTTTGTCTGATGGGAGTAAACAAATTCGAAGCGCGTCGTAGAGTGCAGTAATGATATTAATCCGTATATGTGTCGATTGTGCGGGAAACTCTCTTTGAATTGGGGACAGATCATGAGTGCATTAATGATCATGATGATACGATGTGTTAGATATGCATTCTGGAGCGTGCCATCAAGACGTTCTGAAACAGACGACTTTGATTGTTGAAGAGTTTTGTGTCACGTCTTGTCTCTTTGGTTATAGATTTCTTGTTGCATTGCGGATGAATGCATTTAGCGAGTTACCCCATGGAAAAGGCATTGTCGAGTTTTGGCCGATGAAACCTCCAAGTTTAATGCGGAATGTTCTTGCATTTATACAATACCTGATAGTGGATAAGTAGGCTATTCCACACGACAGCGTATCTGATGAGGAAAACGTTGGATGGAATAGGTGCCCTGGTTCTTGGAAGTTAGTTTACAAGGCTTGTTGCGCATTTTCGGAGTGGTTATGTTGCAATTCTAATGTGCACATGTTGGAATATGTCATTCATTTTATGAGGTCGTGTATCAGCATCAGGTTATGTCTCAGTCGTCGAAACCACAAGGGCTTGAGCTTAAGCTGCTGGCAGCGTTCCTGATAGCCCAAAGTGAACGATTTACCAAACAAGTGTTGGGTGAAGCATCTTTGCAGGTTTTCCAAAGCTTTTCTGTCATCCATACACATGTTCCCTTAAATAATGCTGCAGTATTCAAGGAGAGGAAGTGCGAGTATTTTGAAAAGCTCGATTCCGGCAGGGACTTTACGGATGTTAACCATAGATAGTTTGGCACGTGCTATTCGATACTCAGGTTGCTTTGATAAATTCAAGTTTGAAGAATACCGTGTCGTTATAAGTTCCGAGCAGGAAAACATGGGACCGGTTTCTAAGTTCATGGAGGCAGCGAAAAAAGTAATAAACGCTTCCCAAATAACAAGTGGGTTGTTAAGGCGGCGACCCTCCTCCCCGATCAGTTACATGCTTAAAGACGCCTGATCGTTAGTTATAAGACGGAGTAATGCTGTCAGTTTCTTTCCTGTTTATACCATCCACAAGGCATTCTCCACTTCCTTTGCAATCCACTTCATTTTTGAACGTCGGATACAGGCGATGGATTCGTGACACTGTAATAGTAATGACAAGTCAGTGATATATCGGAACCATCTGATTAGTTACCTCGTTTTCAGGTCGCTCTAAGCATTCTTCGGACCAGGAATTGCACGTTTGTAACGCAGAATAGGCATAGTGAAGATAAGATGGATCCGGTAGTATAAATGCTCCACTTCAATGGGGGTGCTAGTGGAGAAAGTAAACGCGTCCCAATTAGAGGACCGGAATAGCTTTTTGAAATTCTCCCAGCCAATACTTTGGATAGTATAATGGATATACGTCGAGCGTCTGAGCCGAGGTGCAAGCGCAAAAGCTTTAAAGTATCTTCCGTTTTCAGCGTCACGGATGGATTGAGAACTGATAGCACAGAAATATAATCTGAAAAACTAATCTTCCAGTCTTCCCAGCATTCTGCATTTGGGGTAACCGCAGAGTCAGTCCAGAATGATGAAGGGGCAGTTGCATGCAAAAACATCGGTAACACGCGACGCCAATTTGTTGTATCCCGAAAAAGCAACAGACCAGCGTAGCACTGGAACGTATGCATGGAAAAACCGTCTGCACATAAGTGCGTTACAATTAAATCGATAGCGGTTCGAATTGCAATCAATCAAATGCAAGATCACATGGCTGGGCCAAAAAATGCTAAACATGAGTGTGCGTGGGATAAGCGAATCGAGGGCAAAAACAAAACAAAGTATTTAAACGCGACACTGCTCCACGTCAATGGGGGTGCTAGTGTAGAGAAAAAAAGGTCCCAATTAGAGAAGCGGACTACCTTTTTGAAATCCTTCAATCAATCCTTTGGATAGTATGATGGATAGCAGAGTTTAGTATGGTATATATTTCCATGTAGGAGATGAGTAGTAGCATCCTGTGGTCACTATCAGAGAGGTTGTCCAAGCTTCCAATTTGTGAGTTGGAGATCTCCAGCGTAAATATTAAATCCAGTACGTAGGTAGACCTAGTCGGTCTGATGACCCACTGAGTCGAACCCCCAACTCTGATGGTTTAAAAAAATACCTATGCAATGACGTTGTGGCGACCGATTGTTAGTTGGTAGATTGAAACCACTTGCGATTGTTTTCAGTGCATGTGAAATCAAACGCCGAGGAGATAATAGCGGTATTCCTGACTTTAGCTTTCGGTGGGGGGGTGGTTGATGCAACCGAGAAGTGTTGTGGAGGAGGCTGCAAAGACTGGATGCCGTACAGATTCCCGGAGATTTTATAACTGTGTGTCGTCATGAAGCTCTGCTGCGAAGTTTCGATGGAAATATACGATATACCCACCCCTTCTTTGGGCGGCGATCTTTCAAAAAAGATGGTGGTTAGGAATGTCGAAAGTAATATCCAATGTATCGGAGACACACCAAGTTTCGATGACGAAAATTCCATATGGGGCGCTTAAGTGAGTAAGCATGGTTACAAAATGCAACTAGTTGTTTATGGATCTTGCGCTAAGTTGTATAAGTGGAAATGTGTCGTGCAAAAAATCCTTTTCCGTGAGTACCTCAGAGGGTTGGGAATCAGAAATAACAGGCACAGAAGTTAAACAAGGTGTTGGAAACAAACCTTTAAGTGGTAGGTTCGGGTGTAAGGGCATCGTTGCGCTAGTAAACCCGGGCGAGAGGAAAAGATTTATGTCCCGAGGTTAGGTTGGGATCGGTTTGGTACTGAGCTAACCGTGACATGTGGATGAACTGCAAGGGAAACAAGATAGGATGTCTCTGCTGGATGCGTCAGCGGTGGGAATCTGTGCGGAGCTACACCCACTTGCGCCAGCAAATAGCTCCTACCACTTCTCCGTTTCAGCTATAGTCAAAAGGGACCGAACTCACCGAAATTCACTTCGGTCGCGGTCCACGTGGAGATTGTGCACTAACGTCGATCCACAGAACAGGTGTATCAAATCAGCCGGCCGGTGGCCGAAAGGATAGTGCGTCTGACTTGCAATCTTGAGATCACCTGTCCAAGTTTGCGTAAAGGCGACCACCAGTGGTGGCGGCGTGGCAGCGCAGCGTCGGTATAGTGCGCTGGCATACTGCCGATAACTTTTGACGGCTTGTACCATATCAAAAGAGGTTCCATACTCAAGAACAGATACTCCCGGATCCCAGTGGCCTAAATATCAATGCGTCAGCCCAACTCAGGCTCATGGGGTGCAGTGTTGATAGTAATTAACATCGAAGCACATCAAAAACGAATGTATTTTAAGAGTACGTAACCGACGAAGGCATCCGATATGTGAAAATGTAGTAACGTAGGCAATCGAGGTCAACGAAAATACAAATCAATGAAACCCATGAATACCATAATGTGTACGACGAACTAAGGTGGGTTAGGGTTAACAAATCAGGTGAAAACGGAGTTCTAAACTATAGGATTTACCTCCTTTTTGTATCGATGGAACGGTAGAGCCACTGCGAGCTGCTCCTTCTCCATCAGTTGTGCTTGATGCTCATCTTCCGCGGACCCCTTCGCTTCGCGCGCCTGGGATCGTCGCGCTTCCAACAAACGAGCAGCCGCAGTTTTCTCTGCAGCGCGTCGGGCTTCTAATTGATCGAATTTGCGCTGCATGCGCTACAGGTGGTTCGAAAAATTGCATGTCAGCAAAAAAGTACGGAAGTGAATCACAAATAACAAAGAAATGAGCTGACGCCAGTACAGTACACATCGCAGAGCAGTCGCCTGAATTTGCGCTCCAATCATTCGAATTTAAAACTACAATATGACAAGCTCCGATAACTTGGATCCCAACCTCGTTCAAATCCACCTGCATTACTGAACTGAATTAGATCAAAGTTGACACTTAAAGCAAAAATTCAACCAAAAGGGGACATAAGAAGGATAATTTGACCATTGAGGACCGGGAATGGATAATCAGACCCCGGACAATGATTAAAGAGCATGTGATAAGCAAGCAAATACTCTGTAAAGGTGAGTGGAACATCTGCGCTTTAGCATCTTGGTCAACGCCAAAAGGACGCAAAGAGGGTATATCAAAGCACAGTTACTGGTTTCTCAGGAAATGATCCAATATACTAATGAGCTCGCTAACAGGCGGCGCAAAGCAATGTGATTGAAGGGGTCGATCAGGATGACTCGAATTGGGAAACGTTATCGAAATTAAGTGAAGAACTGGAAAACACAATTGCTTCGAATCAGACATGTGATAAAAGTGCAATACACGTCTGAAGGTGGACAAGAAAAAATGAACATAGCCAGAAACTCGGTGCCATATGTCACAGCGTGAACAAGTCAAGACGGGTTAGTTAGATGGAGAAGGTGGTTGAAGCTAGTGTGCCGGAAGCTCGAACAGTTTCTTCTCCATCGCGTGGTGATACAAAATGCGACCGACAAGTTCCTCTATTCAACAAATATAGAAACGTAAAAAAATCATAATACAATGTGATGCCGCTCAGGTCCGCTTTTGCAATGTCACACGTGTCCCAACATTAAATGCTTATTCTGCAGGTGAACGTGCACCCTCACCACATAAATGTAGTAATCTATCGAGCTACGATAGGTTATTGGAACTTATACATGACCCCAAAAGAGTTTTACCGCTCGATGAAATTACGCATTCATTGGATGCACAGCATGAAGCGACTGAGGAAGTTTACAAATTAGCGATGTTAATTGACTTTCAGTTTGATAACAATATCTTCCACTTTGGAAACAAATCTTATTTTCAAGTATGTGAAGGTGGAATGGGTAGCGCACTGTAACCTGTGCTAGCTGTATACTTTACACCTAAGAGGAGCGACATGAACCAATAGTTCAATAGGCACTAGCAATACGCCGTACCGACGTTTCGCTGCCACGCAACTACCACCAGTTGCACGTGGGCTAAGAATATTGTGCACGCTAAGATAGCAATGTGGGCTTGTGATGCTTCAGGTTACGGGTCGGCTCACAAGTGGCAGAAGAATCAACACGGGTCTATTTATTCATAAGAGCAATAAGCAGCGTAGACTACACGGCGGGCGTGCCATAGTTGAAGCAGACTGGAAGAGTTTCTTTCCAGTTGAATACTTTCAATAAGCTTGGAGACTCCGGACTGATCGGGATGCGTCAACTTTAAGACATTTCCAAGGTTTCACAGCAGTACAACACACGTAAATGACCACGACGTTCCTTGTTGCTCGTGCTAAGAGTTTCTAAGACCGACTGGCTGACTGAAGCCAAGGACTATCTCATCTATACTATGCAAAAGATGAACATGTCCACAAGGTTGCAGTTATCAACCGAACCCAAAAAACATGTTTTAAAACGGTTAAATTGCTACAAACATCAACTGCATGGCATGTATAGACCACTAGTGTGAGGGATGAACCAAGTCAGCAGTTTGTTTGTGGTTTGTCGAGTAAATCATCAGCCCATTCTGTACGTCAGCTCCACCTATGAAGTCGAACAATTACAGAGAGATCGGCAATCGCCATTCTTGAAAATTTCGTACAGTAACAGAAAAAAGTACCGGTTGAATAAGTTTACTATTAACCCAATCACCATATATGTCACTTTATTGAACCAAAATGTTTTGGTAGTTTCATGCGCAGGATTTATAAAAACACATATGCATAGGCTCATCAATGCCTGTTCTGGGGTATGAGATGATGAATAGGTGGTATCATCAAAAAGTGGATCTTCACGGTAGCGCGTAGCCACTTCGCGTATTTGTATAAATCGACGACTAGGGAGTCAAACTACGATTTCTAGGCCATTCGGATGACGCCGGTGATTGTGTTCCCCAAGTTGGTGAAAAATTGAGAGCAACGAGCAGCAGAGAAAGGAAGTACAAACATGAAGTGATTTGCCAGGGGCTGGCTGCGTTACAGATGTAGTACCAGTATTCGATGTTACTCGAGAACACGACCGTAACCTTCATAAGTTCCTCGAATCTTGAGTGAAGTGGAGCAGTGAACGGAAGAGTGAGGATGTGAAATAGTGCAAATCGGAGGTGAAACTTCAGGAACAAAGGTTAAACCACAGAAGTTCAGTGGATCCCGTTGACACAACACAATATTTCGGAAAAGAAAGAAAACACAACGGCAAGAAAAGGAGGATGAGTGCAAATAGAATGTAGAGAAAATGGAAGCAAGAAGGAGGTGCGTTAAACTAATCAAGATAGTGGAAAGTAACAATCAGATGCAAGAAATCGAATACAGGAACGCCACTGACCGCGTGACTGCGACATGTATGACACGGTCTTCAAACATTGGCATGGACCATCCCGAGGATCCAATGCGCGAAGACGGCAAGCACCAGCCTGATCAAGTCTCTCAGTCAATTTCTTCAAATCTTTTGCCAGACCATGGACCGCCACTACGTGGTTTCGACAAACCTAGTGCAGCCACGGCGTATAATGCAAGCCGAGGAAGTCGGTCAACTGGTATACGGAAGACATGACCTAACGATTAAGATTCAGTAAACATTCGAATGAGGAACAGGAAGGCTAATTGATAAAAATCAATTTGGCGACCCTCAGCATTGCTCACCCGGTGTTCCCAACAGAGTTGAGAGATACTCCGCAAGCACCAGTGGTCAAACATGGTTAAGCGTTTAATGTCTTCACTGCGAACTGGCCAGGTCTCTGATTTACACAGAAACAACGGCCTTATCGAAGCGTTACACAATCACCCTTCCACTGACAGGATGGATGAGCCTCTGGAAAGTCACACGGGATTTGGTAATAAGAGAAGTAACTTCTTCAGTGGTGTGATCAGCAGAAGTGACACAGTTACCAAGGTAAGCGAAGCGATCTACCACTTCCGGTGGCTGTTCGGTGATAGCTAGAACCGGAGGTGCATCGATCCAGTCCTATAGCGGTAATTTTCACTTTGAGAGTGCAAAGCACATGCCGAATTATTCAGCGCTAGGGGTCAGTCTATTCAGCAGTGTTTGTACAGCCACGGCGTCAGACCCAAGAAGAACTGTCGTCCGCATACTACAAACTTGTCAATCGGTCACTTGGCAGAACTTACACTCCAGAATATTCTGAGAGAACCGAGGCAAGTATGGTCATTTCGATCGCAAAATTGAGAAAGGAAATATAGGACAAGGTTGCGAAGAGCACTTGTATGGGAGACTCTGAAGACACTTTCCCGGGGATGTTTACACGGCCTCGGGAGTCATGGTTGAGAGTGCATAATGGAGAGAAATTTAGTTTGCATGCCCCTCAAGGATAAGCAGTGCCACAAGCTGGTGCGGTTAACTGAGTCGAAGGTAGCTTGCAAATCAAGGAAAACCACCATAGTGGGTGGTCGACGTAACTACAAACATGGCGGAAGCTTGGATTTCAGTGATTCAATTCTCAAGGGTCAGTAAGTCGTCGATGAATGATACCTGTGAGAGGGTTGGAGGCAACGGGAACAAGGCTAATGTCTCGATGATTTTCGCACAAAGTATGCTGACATCTTTTAGATGATAGGCACGACAGTTGGTAGTCGTCACTCTGAATGTACCTACTTAATGTCCCAAATCGTGTTAAATAGAGAAGCAAGTTCAGTCATCAAAAGGTCACCTATATCTCTCAGTAAAATGGAGGAACGTAGTCGGCTCCAGGAGCCTTGTTTCCTTTAAACACAGAGAGCTCAGGTCGAATCACTTGCAAAGTGGGCGTGTGAAATCAACTTTCCACGTAGGTTCAGGTGAATCATCAAGCGACAGTATCGTAGCCCGCCTGTTGAACTGCTCTCCAAAATGTTCTGCCTAAGAGGCTAATCGACGAGGTTGGGAATGAAGCAACTGTCCATCTTTCACAGCTGTTGCCTCGCTAACGGATGGCTTTCCCGGACTCGTGTTCCGAATTAGTTGAAATAGCACTCAGCTGTGTCCCAGTAGCGCTGGCTTTCTCCATCTCATGGGCCCTTGCCATCCACCGACGTTTCCGATCGATTCGAAGGCTCCTTGTCAGACGTCATTTCAGAGAGGTACGGACACGGTGAAACTCAATACCCTTTGGAAAACGTTTACGCGCTTCGATCAAACTGTAGGATGCCTCAGAGGTCCACTCACAGTTGCATCTCAAGTAGGGTGTACGTCAAGCGTCAAAGGTATTCTTCATGGCACATTTGAGACGATCCTAGTCAACGATCGTTCCACCTCCTTCATTCATCACTGACATATGGTTGGCCAGTTCGTTATGATACTGTTGAACCGTAGACTGTGAGTTTAAGTTACAGTCAAGGTTAAAAATAGGTGTTTTTGAAGTGGGAAGAGCGAACGCCAATCGTGCGAGGACTAGAGCATGTTGGAAATAAAAGCACGTACTTCAAATTGATCGACAGTTTTGGACTGATGTGCGCCATCGGCAGTTAATAGCAATATGGGAAATTAGGGCCCAGGTCAGTGACTTATTCGGTGAGCGACAGGTGACGCGAAGTAAACGTTAGCGCTGGAGAGCGGTGATGCAAAGGTAAAGGTTGTAGTCGAAGCACAGTTTCAGGAAACGATCATCGTTGTCTTTTCGGCGTGCATCGACTCAGAAGCGGCCTCCTAGCTGTTGCTCTGAGTCTGAAGGACGACCCACTTGAGCACTTATGCCACCACCAACAATCACGATGTTAGTATTCTTC